GTCCGCGAGCAGCGCCTCGATGGTGAAGGGCCTCTTGGGGTGGTTGTAGCCCAGCGGCTGCGCCAGATAGGAGCCTCCGTAGATGTTCATGGTGGAGGTGAGGTCGGCAACAGTCACCGACGAGCCGCGCGACCAAAGACACTTTGACCTGGCGTGTGACCCTCCCTTTTAAAACTCACGGCTCGCACGGCGCATTATTTACATGCAACTCAAATGCAAATGGGGGGGGGAGGTCGCTTGCGAAGAGGGCTTCGCGCACCGATTGTGTTGTGTGAACGCCAACGATGAGGGCGGGCAATGCGCGCATGAATAGCCCGGCCAACGAACTCGCGCGGTCTATTTTCACGGCTTGGAACTTTTCAAAGTGAGAATTATTTGAACGTCGTCGTAATTCTGTCGATTCCACTGCTGGATGAGAGGCCTTCACGAGTCACCTCTCACGATCCCACGATGTTATCAATCCACCGAGCGCACTGATGAAAAGTAAATGGGATGTCTCATTAACTTTTTTGTTACAGTTTGAATTTAATTCTCTTTCATAGTCTCCCCAAAAGTTCGGCATGAAGACAATTTAAATTACGGTAGCGAGATGTTAACTACCTTGCCTAGTATGCAGGAGGTCGTGGGTTAAATCCCGACCCCTGGAGTATATTTCGAGTTTGCATATTCTTCACGTGGTCGCGTTACTTTTTAGCCGGCTCCTCCGGTTTTCCCTCCACATTTAGAAACATGCTTTACGAGTAATTGGCTGCTATACATTTACACATGATAATCCACTTTGTGGAGCTATCATTTGTGGCCAGGTCGCTTCTGAATAAGAAGCTATATAGCTCAGTGGGCCTTACCTGGTAAAATACAAGTTTTTGTTCGTCTTTTCCATCATGCGATTAGAAGCATGCACAGCGATTGATTCTTACCGACGGAATCCACGCAGCGCTCTACGGGGACATCAAGAGCTCAACACAGGCGCCGACAGGAGTGCTCTAAAATGGACGAAAAAACACATCGGAGTTGCGGGTGAAGGACAGCGGACTCAGCAGCTTTCTTTGTGTTCAATTTGTCGTCCTTCCCCCTCGCCCACTCCGACGAGCACGGTTGGCTACGTACGATGCGAAATGCGTGCAACCATTGCCGCATTATCTCAGTAGCACAAGTAGCTACACACTCTAAGGGCCCCGCGCTAAATGCTTTCAAGATATAAATTCGAGTTCAGTTATTCTGCACTTGCACTATTACTAAAGTACTATACCGCCTTTAACTTTTATGAATGACTGGGTGTTTAATGTTAGGGGCCGTCCATAAATGACGTCACGCACCTAGGGGGTCAGATATTTGTGAGAAATATGACGTCACATCAAAATGCGCAACTTTAAATATGAACAACACGTTCTACTTTTTTGATTAATTTTTATCATTAACTATTTGATTATTTTAATTTACTAAGGTCACCTTTTATTTATTCCATGAAGGAGCATTCTGCTTATCCAGAATGGAGAAGCATAAATTTAGTTATTCAACATTTTTATTTTAATGATTCTACCAGGGCTTTTCATTCTGTGGAATGAATGTGAGTTATAATTGTACTCTTCATTTTGCTTCATTCTACTACAAAGTTTCAAATACTATTTATAGTTATAATTACTTTTAATATATGATAATTCTAAGAGAATTTCAATATAATATTCTGAACATCTGCAGTTTTAGTTAGACGATTAATATTTTCAAGTGAATTTTATGCTAAATTTCAGCTTTCCAACGCCTCCTTTTTAATAAAAATATCAACATCAGAGTGCAGGGCCACATTAAATACGCACTGCAATGACAATAGTTTTAAAGCGATTTGAAGCATGTTTCATTTTCAAAATGAAATATGATTTTGGGAGGGGGGGCAGAGCTTCGTGACGTCATATTTTAGGGGGGTCTTTTGTGACGCCGTGTGACGAGGGGGGGGGGTCAAAATCGTCCAAAATCGCGTGACGTCGTTTATGAACGGCCCCTTAGCGATTTATCGTATTATCTGGCTGCATAGCAGATGAAAAAAATGCAATTACTTTACTATGCAAGTTAAAAATTCGTGTTTTAAAATTTATGTTTTTTTTATGTAAGGGCCCCTTTTTAACATGTGCTACAGGCCCCGCACTAGCTTAATGCAGCACTGTGTGCAGCACACGTGCATATGTACATACATGCATGCGTTTCGCGAAAGGGCCGCGTGTCGGTCAATTATCATCACACGCACACACACACACACACGAGTGTTCGATCACGTGGCGTCTGTGAAGTCGCGCACAGGTCCGTTACAACGCGTTCGCTCGGCACACGCCCGTACGTTGGCACCGTTTGAAAAAAGTTTTCGAGTCGATCCAAAGGGTGATTTGAAGCTTTCGTGACTGCAGGAATCTATACTCTTTGGTTCTTTCGGTAAAAGTCACGTATGTAGAAATAAAATAAACTAAATCACGACGTTTCGATCGCTTGTGTTGCGATCGAAACGTCGTGATTTATTTTATTTTACCTACGTGACTTTACCGAAAGAACCAAAGAGTATCGATCCGAAGGGTTTGGCGGAGCGGCGTCACGTCTGCTCTTCGGCAAGCTCCAGGCGGCTGTCGCTAATTGTGGCCCCGTCGCCTTTGATCCGTCGCAGTTCAAGTGCGACACACCCACTGACCCACTTTGACGTGCGCGTGTTGCTGAACGGGAGTCGTGGCGAAGTGTTTTGTGCACGTCCCCATACACCCGGCGGCGACTTGTACGAGTTTATTGGCCACAGTACACATTGGTGTGCAGAGACGGGCATAGTGATTGTGTACAACAATCATGCCGTGGGATCTCGAATACATCTGCGGAGTTGCGACTGCTAAATAGTGGGAAATGCCCTCGGCTCGGCAGTCTTCTTCGCAATATCAGCAGCAACAATGGTTACATGAATAGCTTCATCATCATCTGGAGCACCATTCCCATACCTGTCAACCCATTCGGTTTACCCCGTGTTCTTGTGCAGAAAAATTGAGTTTTCACGTCCATACGGCGCAGTCGTTTTTATACGGGATAAAAAAAAATGTTTGTCTATTTTTTTGTGTTTCTCCCTTGTGATGGGACTTTATAGGATGAATGTTGAGATTTATAAGGGCACGGGGTGACCAATAAGGCCTGAATTGGTCTGAAATAAGGTATGGCACTGATAAGGGGTTGATAGGTATGCATTCCCTCAATATAAACACCCATGTATAATTGTATTCGATCACCATCACTGTAAATATACTCCCATAATTACATTCACAACCCGAGTAACACAAAGCCCCGTGAACGCTTGGGGCCTAATCCTTGCGTCGACACATTTTTATTAAAAAAATGTTGTGCCTGTTGGCAATTCGCAAGCGGTTGATTTAGCACGAACTCCCAGCCATTACGTCCCCGCACGACGCGATTTCACACAACACGGAACGCGCAGCGACTTTACTGCCGTTTCAGCTGCGACTCTTGCTTGCGCATGCGTGCAATATCATGGGCCCTCTGCCACTCCTACCTACTGATCTTTACTTAACACCATGAATTCACAGCCCATCGCTCTTCAAATGTACATCGGGGAGCACGCGGCGACGCAGCCATATGCGCATTTACCATACGAACCTCCACGGCTTATCTTCTTGGTTCTTTCGGTAAAGTCACGTAGAAGGGAAATAATAAAATAATGATTTTACCGAAAGAACCAAGAAGATGAATCCCTGCAGTCACGAAAGCTTTAAATCGAAAAATCTCCACGGCTTACGTTTGATAACCATATCACGTGCACATTGGTGTGTCGAGATGGCCAGAAGGCAGTTACAAGAGTGGATTCGTGAATATCTGTGCGGAGATTAAACGAGCAACTCTTGAGTGCTAAAAGAGCGGGGGGAGGGGAGAATTGAAGATTCTAAGGGCCACTTTTTACGAATTTTACTCGGGGAAAATGTCGACCTGGCTCCGCTACGGTGGGGAGGGGCGAGACGGAGGGGGGCGGAGCGGGTTAGAGGCCCCCCTATTGATGGTGGGTCGCGAGGACTGGGGCTGTGGGGAGGACGTCTTCTTAGACTGGAAGGGAAATAATGTTCCTTACCAGGTTTAGATTACTATTGTAGCTATGTCCACATGATAAGCTATCATTTGTGTCCAGGTCGCTTTTGAAAAATAAGTTAATAGCTGGATGGGCTTGACCTGGTAAGATTTTAAAAAGTTTCTTTGTACTATTTTTAAGTGATTTGTTTACCTTTCCTATACTTTGCACTCCTATCGTGTTTTTGTATTGTTTCTTGGTGTAACGTTTTACTGCCGTTTTAGCTGCGACTCTTGCTTGCGCATGCGTGCAATATCATGGGCCCTCTGCCACTCCTACCTACTGATCTTTACTTAACACCATGAATTCACAGCCCGTCGCTCTTCAAATGTACATCGGGGAGCGCGCGTCGACGCAGCGATATGCGCATTTACCCGACGAACCTCCCCGGCTCACGTTTGATGAACATATCACGTGCACATTGGTGTGTCGAGATGGCCAGAGTGGATTCGTGAATAGATCTGTGCGGAGATTAGACGAGCAACTCTTGAGTGTTAAAACAGGGGGGGGGGGAGAATTGGAGAGACGCAGGGCCACATATCATGAATTTTACTCGGGGCCCATGTCGACCATGGCTACGCCACGGTGGAGAGGGGCGAGGTGGAGGAAGTTACAAGGCCACCTGGTGACGGGGGATGATCGCGAGGACTGCTGCTGTGAGGAGGACGACTTCTTGGAGTGGAAGGGAAATAATGTTCCTTACCAGGTCAAGATGATTTAGATTATGCTGCTGCTGTGTTCACATGCTCAGCCACTTTATTGAGCTATCATTTGTGTCCAGGTCGCTTCTGGAAAAGAAGCTATATTGCTCAGTGGGCCTTACCTGGTAAAATAAAAGTTTCTGTTGTTGTGGTGCAAGTTCATAACTTCCCCTTATACAGAAAGGCACGAGTCCAACACACACTCAGCACAAAAGCAGACGTTTATAAATTATCCGAGAATAATCCCAAACGCGTACATCATTGCAGCCAATTATATTAGAACGTGTCCAAAAAATATTAATCTTTTTTTTACGCACGAGTCAGAATGGCAACGGAGCCGTGTGGTCTGCGCGCGCGCGCACTCTCTTTGAGGTCAGAGCAGGTCGTAGAAGTAGTTGAGGCCTTGCCCCAGCTCCCAGAGAGCCAGTCCCGTGCCCAGGCTGCTCGCCAGGTGCAGGCGCTCCCACACCGACTGAGGCGGAGACAGGCGGGGGGACACAGGCGGGGGGACGGGGCAGACACGGAGCGGGGTTCACGAAGCGAGACACGTGCCGAAACAAAGAGACACGCGCCCACAAAGAAACACGTGCCCAAACAAAGATCCCCCGTGTCGCCTTAAAAGACTGTTGGGGCAAGTGCTGTTAGCGAGCACCTATGAAGACCGGCACACGAGAGGGGTAGGTGGCCAGCACCACGCCCGACCGCCTTTGTCTCCCGAGTGGCAATAATTACACGCCGCACCAGGTACTCATTTGAGGTTGAGTCGACCCAGGGGAGGCCCAACACCGGTTCAGATAATCGTCACCGGTGTTGGCCGTGAGCGGGAATCGGACTCGGGTGACTGGGTTTGCGGTGCAGCGCGCTGAGCATGGCACTACCGCCCATCGCACACAGAGACTCGCAGAGCGAGAAGGGGGGGGGGGCACAGGAGGGGAAGGCAGAGACGGTTACGGGCACAGACTGAGCAAGAGGGACAGGCACAAGTACAGTGGGACAGATACGTAATTGAGAACAGCGAAAGGCCAGGGATGAATATTTATATCAAGGGAACAACAGTGGAGGTAAAGGGGGAGAGGAGGGTGGGTCGATGGAATGTATTCAAGTGGTGCAGGGGATAAGTACAGGACATCTTGCGACACGTGTGTGCAGACATTTAACGCGATCAATTGAGACTTATTTTCCCCCGATTGAAGATAAGTGGACCTCATCCATCAAATGCTGCAAGACAAAAGGGGCCGTGCACCTGGGCGCAATCGGGTAACATGTCCGCGAATCTCGCTCACCTGCAGTGTTGGGAAGAACACGATCCCCTTGCCGCCTCTGTCCCTGCCACATCAACACAACTTCGTGTGAGCCAGTGCCACGCTTCAGATTCAGAATATGTATTCATACCGGAGGAATCCGATGAGCTATAAAGCTCTTTCTTTTTTACAGATGTCCAGTAATTTAAAACAGGTAAATGTAGGAACGCCCCCTGACACAACATTTTTTTTGTACCTTACAAAAATAAAAATAGCATTCCATCAATCCACTGCTAGATTGGATGAAGGTTTCCCCCCAGGCCATCGGCCATCTTCCACAATCCTTGGATGCAACAATCCCTGTTGTAACTCTTCCAAAGTCACGCAATGGATAAACTCGGGCGGATTGCATGGTCGTGTGACAGGGTACACCGGTGACACACAGACGCTTACAGACACACGTGCAACAGACGTGCCCTGTGCAACACGACGCCACCACACACAACGTTCCACAGCACGTCGGAGAGATTTCCCAATGCTCAAGCGAGCGATACATAGCCACTGCCCAGAGAATATGGTGAAAACTCCACGTGGTGTCATTTTGATGTACACTTTTGCTCACATTAAAATATTGAAATGATTATATACATTTTAAAAATTCTGTTGAAACTTTGAGAACAAAAAAAAAAATCACATTTTTATAAAATATTTCAATGAATACATTTAGTGCAGAAACAATGGGCACCGTTAACATTTTATACACGCAAGCCTCAAAATACAAAATCAAATACAAACTTGGGAACCCCCGAAACACCAGAAAATTCAATTATCTCAAAAAATTTAATCTGAAGCCCCTCCTTGAGTGGAGGAGCCGTGGGCGCACACACACAGGTGGGCGCACAGACACACACAGGTGGGCGCACAGACACACACAGGTGGGTGCACACACACAGGTGGGCGCACAGACACACAGGTGGGTGCACACACACAGGTGGGTGCACACACACACACAGGTGGGTGCACACACACAGGTGGGTGCACACACACACAGGTGGGTGCACACACACAGGTGGGTGCACACACACACAGGTGGGTGCACACACACAGGTGGGTGCACACACACACAGGTGGGTGCACACACACACACAGGTGGGTGCACACACACACAGGTGGGTGCACACACACACAGGTGGGTGCACACACACACAGGTGGGTGCACACACACACAGGTGGGTGCACACACACACAGGTAGGCGTGCACACACACAGGCGGGTGCACACACACAGGTGGGTGCACACACACACAGGTGGGTGCACACACACACAGGTGGGTGCACACACACACAGGTAGGCGTGCACACACACAGGCGGGTGCACACACGCACAGGTGGGTGCACACACACGCACAGGTGGGTGCACACACACACACAGGTGGGTGCACACACACACAGGCGGGTGCACACACACAGGTGGGTGCACACACACACACAGGTGGGTGCACACACACACACAGGTGGGTGCACACACACACAGGTGTGCAGCACCACCTGCTGGCGGAGATCGAAGCCAAACAGAATCGTCAGGCCGGGCGCACGTCAGCCAATGCTGGCAACCACCAGCCAATGCTGGCAGCCACCACACAAATCATCACCAACTATCGGAAGTAAATTGCCCCACAAAGCAGCTTTGCTCAGGTTATCCTGGTTCCTACTAAAAGACGTCCGTATGTATCCGTGTATGTCGGACTTCTTTCGCACCATACGTAGACAGCCGTGCTAATCGGAGGTTCAGGCGTTTTAGAGGCCACCGATATTAGCTGTGGGAAAAAAACGTGACAACAGAGGACCCTTCTCGAAGAGCTGCTGTGGCTTTGGCGTGGAAGGACGTTGCCATATTATGATAATCTTCTTGGTTCTTTCGGTAAAGTCACGTAGAAGGGAAATAATAAAATTATAATAAAACATAATAAAATATTTTTTTTGCAATTGTATTTTATCATGTTTTATTTATTTTATTTTATTATTTCCCTTCTACGTGATTTTACCGAAAGAACCAAGAAGATGAATCCCTGCAGTCACGAAAGCTTTAAATCGAAATATTATTATTAATTTCCCACTGCACATCTCCCGGCGCGGCAGCTAAAACAGAAGTTTTTTAAAACCCCCCACACCCACCCACCTCTGTCCACGCAGCAGAATGAATGGGTCACGCTGCAGGCTGTCCACCTGCAGGTTGCGTGTGGCGGGATAATGTGCACATCTCCACCTCTTTCTTCTGAGACGCCAGGCCAGTGTGACAGACCCACGGACGCACTTCTTTAGGAACCGCTGATGCTCTATGTAAAATGCACAAGGGCTGTGTGCTTTTTACACATTTTTTTTGCATCTCGGTTGCAACGTATGGTTCCCCAGCCTTCACAATTCTTCTGTTTGCGATACGTTTCGCCCGCCCCTCCCCATCATTCACGGATGTGCCGAGTGTGTAAGAGTTGGATAAAACCCGTCTAGAGGGGCCGCTTCAGAGCCCTCTCTAGCCAAGTCCCCTTCTACCAGCAGGGGCGTGAGAAAGCCATCGCAGGGCTGCACCTTTGCCTCACGTAGCCCAGTGTTTTCAAGGGACCACAGTGTAAAGCTCCAGCTCCGACTATAAATGTCAATCTCTCTTCCCTGAAAGCCAGACGGACCGCTGACTGAAATAAGTCCATATAAGACTTTGAATGACGGGGGTGGAGAGATGTTTCTTACGTGTTTGTACACCACTACCAAAGCAGTCCCATCACTTCTGATCCATTGTTTTCTTCTTCAAGTTCCGTTGGATCACCGTCACAGTAAGGTTATTCAGAAACGTTTACAGCATCACGATCTTTGGCTTGCATTTTTTTACGTGATAATTTCATTGATTTCCTGAGAAAATGCGTGCCGATTTTGTTTTGGAAAAATAAATTACGAATTAAGATCTGCAACAGATTCTCCTTAAGGGGAGCAACCATGACAAGTTGGGTGAAAAAACTTCTGGACAGAATTCAAACAGCTGTTTCCCACATTCCTTGTGTCGTGACTTATATGGAGTCACTATGGTGTTTAGCGCCAGCTACTGGCACCAGAGTGGATATGGCATGGAAGCGGGCAGTAGGGGGCATCGTTCTGGTGAGGGTAGGAGAGAGAGCAAGTGCGGACGTGATACTCTGTGTGAACCCGAGAGGGCACGTGACCGGGGCAGGGTAGCAAGGGGGCCCGAAAGGGGGCTCGAGGGACACGTGATATGGGCCAGAGCCTTCTAGTAGGATCTAGAAGGATCTGTGGCCGAGGGCGGAGCGAGGCCACGCTCGGGGGCATAAAAGGGAAGTCCCGAGAGCGATCGAGGCTCTCTGTTGGAATGGAACCCGTCGGTGCTTCGATCCTCGATCCTCGGTCTTCGATGTTACGCTCGGCATCGTGGGTCAGGCAGTGTGTTACTGACTGACCCGGTTATGTACTTACCCTGTTGTGGTCTAGTTAACCGTGTAGTTATCACCTAGATGTAGAACCAGTGTACGTTTATGTAGTTAGCCCTGTTGGGGTGTTGTAATAAACGTGTTGCCTCCATGAACAAGTGTGTGTCTCCGTACAACGCACTTCACTTTCACCAACCTCCTACCACCAGCGAACGACGCCGATGGTAAGCAGACGGGCTGCTCTACCTTGCGTGCTTAGGCACACACCAAGACACAAACTGTGCATTGTGTGCAGCCAAGTGTTGTTTGTGCAGCCATCGATGGTGGCCTGGCACTATCCCCTTCGACAGAGGCAGTAATGGCCATCCCTGCAACGGGGCTCCACCACACGAGGGCTGTAGCAGCTGCAGCAGCACCGGCCCTTGGCGCAGACTTTTGTCTTTGATGTTCAAAACTGCAAACGTCTCATTTTTACAAGCAGTTAACATATTTTTGGTTTTACCAGGCTAAGGCCCAACTGAGCTATGTCGGTCTTTTTCAGAAGCGAACTGGCTGCAAACGAGAGTTCAACGAAGTGGATTATCACGTGGATATTTATAGCAGCCAAATACTCTAAACGCACGTTGAGGACCCAGAGATATATCCACACGTCCACAGAGAGAACATACAAACTCCAAATATACAAGTGTCAGGGTTGGGATCGAACCCACGACCTCCTGCATACCAGGCGAGGTAGCTAACATCTCACCACCGCAAACTCGGATTGTTGAACATGTTTGCAAAGTATTATCGTTGTGCAGCGCAGGTAATTATAAAGTGTTCTCGCCATTATCGCTGGGATACCACTACAGGCTGTAAATGACTATTGTTAATCAAATATAAGTTCCCTAATCTCCAAGTCATAATTCCCCGGTGACGCCTCCGTGATGGCTCTTCTGGTTGCAGAGCAGTGCAGCGCAATCAGGAGCGGTGCAGCGCAACTCCCAACACCCGTGCAGTGACATCCCCGTCGTCCCAAGTGATAACGACAGTGATCTGCGATTGATGGAGTCACCCCTCCTTCACACCAGGGCATCTCGGAGCGGCTTCGCACGCGACGAGCGACTTGCATCACATCCCACATCAAGACGTTTTAAAGGGCACCCCCGGTAGCAGCTGTCACTGTGTGGTGCAAGGCGACGCTGCACCTGAACTGCAAGTGGGCATCAGTCTGCCATTGGTGGGCAAGGGAGAGAGGATTGCTGCTTTGTGTCATCCCAATTGAGTAAGCTGTGGGTAATATCTTCCGAATTTGGCGAATTTGGACCGTGACACCGGCACAAAGATTTACCCGACTCGTCACGAATGACGTCAAAGGGACCTTTAACGTCCGCTGCGAAGCAGACGGCGAGTAATTTATAGTCAATGCACACCGCAGCAATAAGCAAGGCGGCTTGCCGGATGCGAACCGTGAGCCAACAACTTCACTGCGTCGGCGTACGTACGTTTTGTACTCAAAGAAGTGCTCGGCTGTCTCTTCGTCCCACTTTAGCTTGGGCTTGTGCTTCATTAAAATCTCCAAGTACCTGCAAACGTGAGCAGCGCGTGCACACGTGAACACACGGGGGCCTCCCTCCATCGCTGCGGTAAAAATCGTGAGTGCAATGTAATTGGTAACAAAAACAAATCGCCCGACGAAGCTGGTTGTATTCACCAACGAAACGTCACAGTACTCAATTTGTAAAAGTTGTGGGTTTACTCACCAACACACCGGTGTGCTGAACTGATAACCAATTGGCACGTTTTATGTCACAAAGCTCACTAATTGGCTGTTCCGGGTGGTGGCGAGTTAACGACACATTCTATTTACACAATCTAACCCCAAAAAATACATTATTATGGACGTGCCCCAACAGTTTATTGAGGCTATACGGGGAGATCTTTGTCTTTGGTCTATGAGCTGGTTACCGGGCGAGGAGTGTGTTGAACGAGCGTTGACTTACCGCATCCCCAGGATGGGCTGCCCTCCTGTGGCGCTGTACTCCATGCCGTAGAGGTTGACTCCGAGCAGCATGCGCTCGCGGTGCAGGGAGAGCGGGTCAAGCGACTCCACGCACCTCCTCATCCAGCCCAGCGGCGCCACCGCCCCGGGCCTGCCGCGCCGCCAAACACCACCGCCGCCACCACCGCCGGCAACAGCAACCGCCCGCATTTGAGCTCATCCCGGCAAAAAGTAGATTTCAAAGAAAGTCGAAACATAACCGGAACGACACGGGGAGCGCGCACGCCGTGGAGTATGGAGCGATTACAATACCTTGCTTATCTCAAGGAGCGTAAACCATCGCGCAAACTCCGGTCATCCTCGCAGTATCAGCGGCTTTTTGGCTCGCCATCGAACAAAGATGGCCACCGCATCGCGCGCTTTCAGATGCGCTTCTGCGGCCGTCTGGAACGCTCTTCCTTCCGAAATGAGGAAGCCACTGGAGCTATGCACTTTTAAATATAGATTGAAAAGTAATTTCTTAAGAACTGCTTTTTGTGTTTTTAGTTTGTTGTCCTTCCCCCGCACCTCCAATTAGCACGGTTGGCTACGTGCGGTGCGAAAGAAGTTCAACATGCACACATACATAGCAGCTTATGTACGTATTTATACATCACAAAACCGTGACAGACAGCTACAGCTCACGGAGACCTTCATCCAGCAGTAAATTAACCATGGCAGATGATGCATTCAACAACACAAGTTGTATTTACGACATGTCTACGTGTAGCCGCTTCTCAAGACAGCCTACAAATGGTGCGGCATGCACAGAGACAAACTGCAGAACACGCACGCGGAGATACCTACGATGTAAACATCCGAGTGACCTTTCAGGGGCGCATGAACGGGGCAAGATGCTACGAAGATGCAGCAGCGTGGTAATGGTGCAGATGAATCCACTTGGTTGTGCTTTGTAGGGCTTGCGTGGTTGTGCGCGTCGCTGTGTTTGTGAGCGTGTGGCGTGGATGCGCGGAGAGGACTTGCCGTGCCGGGTTGGAGTAATCGTAGGTCATGAGGCTGAATGCGTCCACGGTGAGCACCAGGCGAGCAAACTCGGCTTCTCCAAACTCGCCACGTTGCTCCCCGGGCCTGGTCCCACACACACACAGAGCGCACGCGCACCACCGCGGGTGCGGTCGGTGTAAATATAATAAGTTCCGATCGATTTATTACACGACGAGGCCTGCACTGACCGCTGTGAAAGTGGGGAAACCGTGTCGTCACAAATTAAAAGCAATTAAATTAGGAGCCAGATTCATTGTACGCAAGCTATCCTGGGGAGGAAAAAAACTCAAGACGAAACATGGCCAATGTTAAACAACGGCCGATGAATAAAACACAATGTTTCGCCAGCTGAACATGGGACGCCACACACTGCCAAGTTAAGTGCCACGCACAGACACAGCAAATTGAGCCACTGTGTATAAAGCGAGCGAAGCCTCACAGGCTTCCCACTGCCCTCTTCTGGTCAACGAGGTTTACGCTGTTGCAAATCTTGGTGCAGCGTTCTCGACAGTGCAGTTTCATACAAGGGCCGTCATGATGGGAGGAGTGGGTGGTCAGTGACTGATGGGTATAATTACCATCGCTCTCCGTCAGCGGTTCTTAATCTTTACTGCAGCCTTGCACCCCTTTGGTTCTCAATTGTTACAAAAATGTATAATGTTAATAAACACAGAGTTTGATGAAACAAAGTACTTACGTACCCACGCTGAATTTGTGTTTCAATGATTTAACTTCACAAACTAAATCTGGCCATGCCTCGCACCCCCAGAAAAGGCATCTCGCACCCCCAGAGGGTGTGTGCACCCCAGGTGAAAAACCACTGCTCTATATTATCCTACGGCTGGGTGTCAAGCTGGTCACTGGCTGCAAGATATGGGTGTGTGGCTGTGGTGCAGTGTCTACTCAGTGTGCGCAGGTTTTCGACAATGCGGACACGGGGATGACAGCGATAATTATTGTCTAGGCCTGAAACACCCACTGGTAAGAGAGGCTCGTGGCAGTGATTGGCTGCATTTGCACACGTGTTGGGGGGCGAATGCTGCATGTCCCCAGCAGAAGATGAAAGCGCTGGCTCACTTGTGGTCTATTTTGCATGGTTTTAAAATCAAGCAGTTGATTGTCTGGAATTGTGCAGAGGGCTGATACGGAGCAATTAGGCAGCGATGTGTAATGGATAAGGGTGGTGCTGCTCTCCCAGGAATGGTATAAATAAAACTCAGGAGCCCAGAGGATTTGGAAGACATCAACAGCTAGCCACAGTAGAGGTCAGCTACGCTACCAGCAGCGGCACCAACAGTAGTTACAGCAGTGGTCAACTCAACAGCCCACTCGAAACTGCCAAGCTTTGCTCTGCGAGTAACATCCTACACTATATGGTATTTAATGTATTATTCCGTACACCAGGGTCCTTGAATAGGGGACTCCCATTCGAATTACAAGGGTCGTTGGGGAACAGTCAAGAGGGGAGTATGGTCAAGTAGAGTGCAGAATGGGAGCAGGGTGGGGGGTGGGGGAAATGTCAAGGGAAGTTGACTGACGTCATTTCAAGTCAACGTTCCTATGCCCCCCAGTATAAGGACTCCTGCTGACAAATGATCACGTAACGCGGCATTGTGCTTTAGATGTCACGTACCCCGGGACGATGCCGGGAGGAATGACCAGGATGAGCTTAAGCTGCTCCGCGTGGAAGTCTTCGGCCAGGCGCTCGATCAGCTTCATGAGATCGCTGTGGGCGCCGGCACAAACACCGCGAATGGGAGGCAGCCAGACGGCCCAACACGTGTCAACTGGCAGAGGCATTTATGTGATTTATAACGAATGTGATATTGTTACGTCTGAAGATTTTCTAACGGCTACACAGCAGTCTTTGCCTTTTTTTTATTAAATCATCTCACGTGTGCCTAATCCAATCGGCCCTTGGAAGCTGAGCACGAACCTGGACGGCGCCTGGATGGGTGGCCACAAACGAGTAGTAGGTATTGTGTGGGCAGTGTAGAGGTGAGTGGCTCTCTATCAAACGGTTGTGAGTTCAAATCCTGGTTGGGGGTGGATTCAACCCATCATCTTCCCAACGTTGACAAATGCAGTGCCACTTTGTCAGGTAAGCCATTGGTCGTTGCCTCACCATAGGTATGTTGAACTTTCACCACTGCCTCAGAGCTGTGAATGGGAGATGGATACTGCCTCAATGATCATTTGAGCAGAAAGTCACTTTGGCTTTTGAATGCCTCTGAATTTGTGGGATCAAAGGCCCGTCCTTTCTGATAAAAGCCGATTATCTTGCTCGGAGTTTACATGTAAGAAGTCGCCACCAATGACTACATAAAACAACCTATTCAATACAAGTGGATTAGCGCCCACTTGTTATATTTAAAAAGGGGACAATCTCGTAATTGAGCAGCAGCTCCGACCTCGCACAAACTGCAGATGGTGCTCCCTCTGCAGAGTCTGGCGACACCACCGGTGAACACGATGCATGTGCGCCTGTACAGCCCTGTCGATCCACTCCTGGATAAGGGCATTCCGCACACACTGTGCAGATTCAGGGTTATTTGACCAAATTTCACTGCACTACTCGTCGAATGTGGGTCCAGGCTCGACCCAGACAGTGCTTGGTATGGGCGACCACCATGTACAGCAGATGACGAGAGCCTTCTGCGAGCTGATCTGGTGTACAGCAGAGGGCAGGTTCGACCTGGCTAGTGCTGTTGCATTCTGGGTGATGTTGGTGGATGTGTGTACAGTACGTTGAACTTCTTTCGCGCCGCACGTGGCCAAACGTGCTGATCGGAGGCGAGGGGGAAGGACGACGAACTAAAGCTGGCACGCGGCGTGTGTGTGTACGTGGGAGAAGCTACGACATGCCTTTTCTTATGGCCGCCAAACTGACTCCACACCTCCAGCACAAATCCATGAAACTTGTCCGTCTGAGGGTCAAACACGGCAGACGTTTACACGGTGGTTCTGCACCCCCTGGCGGTGAGAGATGCCCTTTGTGGGGGTGCGAGACGTGGCCAGATTTTGCTTTAGAAGTCAAATCATCGAAACACATTAAGCATACAGCTACTTTGTTTAATCAAACCGATATATTAACATTATACATTTTTTTTTTATGGTTAAGAACCAAAGGGGTGCAAGGCCACAGTAAAGGTTCCCCACTGAGACAGCAACAGAAGCCGAGTGGACTGTTTCACAGACAACCGACAGAAAAAAAAAATCACTTCCCCTGCAAATGGGATCCGTGTCATCGCTCTCACCTGGTTTTAAATGTTGTATGCGCTGTATGGCTACTCATTATTTATCTATCAATCCTTTACTTTGATGTCCATCGTGCACATTACAGCGGGCGCGGTACAGGGTGGGGCACGGAGCAACAGGAAGTGAAAATAGAAACCCGTCACGCCCTCAGCGGCTAACACTGACTGAACAAAAAAAGTGCACCCGCGCACGACGAATAGCATCAGAAAGTAAATGGATCAAAATTAATCAAATAAGTCAAGAAGGCAAGTCTGAATAGGTGTCTTGCACAGACCACAGTGAGATGCTAGGAGTATTATTTTTATATGATCTGATGTTATGATTATTACGCTCGTTCACCCAGGAGCAGCCTTGCAGAGTTTCATGACTTTTTCAATAGGTTCCCAGCGAAATTTTCACAGAGATGCGATGATTGGCCATCCAAACCCAGGTACACGGCACATGCAGTATATATACGCACCTTGGCGACTTTTATGAGGGCCTTGCTCAGTAGTTTTGCTTCTTTACGACTGCCAAACACTTGCGCGTAATCCGCCATGCTCCATGCCTCAAAGAGCACGCGGGGAACTGGGCACGGCACACCACACCGAGGCGCTCACACGACGACTCGCAGCGACACCGCGACACACGCCAAGCGCCCATCACCCTAGACCCCCTAACACAGATCAAGCGACTGGACATCTGTGAGCTTTACAGCTCCTCGGATTCCTCCAGTATAAATATTCTGAAGCTGAGAATTGCCACCTCCCCTCGGGTTAAAAGAACAGAACCTATCAGTGGGGAGAATATCTCACAATACCGGAAGAGGGGGTAAACTAAAAGTGAATTGCAATGTCTTGCGTGGATTATCATTGCTTGCAAACGATGGAAACTGGGATCTTTAAATGTCCTGGGAAGACTAACAAATCTTTATTGGTCAGCTAGCCTGCCTCAATGGTATTATCCTGGAAAAACCAGGACAGGAGTCAACCTTAAGTCCAGCTTGAGTTTCGCCTCCCATCTCACACACACACACAACACCTGCCGAATAACACATTCGCACAATCTGCATTTACCACAACACAAGAAAGTGCTCCATCACATCGTACACACCTGTCAGGTTTGAGGAAACTGGCTGGAATACCTGGCAAAAACTCATCAACGGAGGTCTGACGGGGAGTTTTTGAAATAACAATTGTCAGGATTGTGTTCCAGGACTACAACTCTCATCCACCGGTGTAAATAATGATGGATACAATGCATGAAGCACAGAGTTGTTGTTGTTGTTGTTTTTACTACAATGTGTAAGCGATCTGTGTGAAATGAGAACAGAGTGGGGGGAGGGACTCACGGATTTTGAGATCCTTTTTTCCTCGTTTCACGTCCCGTATCCACCCTGAACAGCACAACAATGCCCAACAGTAGTTGGCAACGGTAGCTCGGCTTACGTTATGACACCTTACACAGCCACAGTCTTCTAGTTTATGTACAATAACTATATATTACAAGGCAGAATCATCATTGTGACATGCGCAAAGTGTTGGACTACTTTTTTAATTACTTTTAAAACCTATCAATATGCAATTAAGAATCTAAAATACACATTTACCACTATGCCTGTTCATCATTTTTCATGAATGTTCTTCCTCGGCTTTGCAGTGAGGGGGGGGGGCGATGTTGCTGTACATAATCCCAAATGAGTAATTTGCAAGTAAAGTTTCAGAACTGTGATTGTGTTGGCCAATACCAGTCACATCTCGTGGCGTTTTTTGAAGCTATGGGAGGAAACCCTTGCAGTACGTGTGCCCTCCGTGGCTTAGTCTCGACCACCAGCCATCATCCCTCCTATGTCTTGCCCAAGCCCATTGTTTTAAACGTTTTTCTTTACTTTTTATGTTTAATTTTACCTGGTAAGGCCCACTGAGCTATGTAGCTCTTTTTCAGAAGCGACCTGGCCACAAATGATAGCTCAACGAAGTGGCGTACCACGTGGAAATGTATAGTAGCCAAATGTTTATCATAACAGATAAAATCACATCCCCAAACTTGCATATGTTCTCTAATCTATGTACTTCACTTTCCATCTCTTAATGTATCCCTGCAGAGATGCTAAAATCTATTTTTTGAGACATGGAAGTGGGTCCGTGACAGATGCACCATCTTCAGTGGGGGCATCCACCACTTTACATTAATGGTTTGCAAGTGTGATTGTACAATTCAGAACCGGAGTTGTACGCAATGCAAATGATGTTTAAACGGTGTCTTAATGAGTCGAGAGTGAGGCGTGTGTGTAAAGTTTGGTAACCTTGATCAACGTCATGGCGACCTGTGACATCATATGACCCCTGAACCTTGGGTTTCACCTGCAGCCATACTGGAGAAATGGTCGTAAACTTTGACCCCAAAGTTTTTGCAATATCATATCCATGACTGTTCCACTGAGGAAGGGAAGGAGGGGGGGGGGGAAACAAACACATCTTGTCAGTGTACGGTAATTGGTGCAAGCGCCGTGAAAGAAAATCACATCATGAACATCCAGTGAAACAAGTTTAACAATAAACGTCCGTCACGTGCCATTTTAGAGAATGACGACGCGGTGTTTCTCGTGCCTACATAGACTTTCATTTTCTCGTGGAGTGGCTTTGGTTGACATCATAGAAGCCACACTGAGAGTGTGCCGTTTCCGTTTTGGTGGCCTCTATACTGCAGTTCGGCAAAACCGTGTAAAGTGTGTGAGGCTATACAATTTAAGTCCATTACTTGTTAACATGATGCTCAACATCCCAGATGAAGTAGCAATTCCTGCATCTACGAGATAGATATACAATAAAGCAATGTACCTACTCTTAACAACTTCCGCAGATCCATAAGAGAGGTTTTTGGGCTAGATCACATAAATATAAATGCGTCGTTAAACCCGACACAGCCAATGAGTAAGGTATTTCACGTAAACAAAACGTGCAAATTAGTTACTCGTACAGCACTCCGGTGTGTTGGAGAGTAAACCTACAACATTTACAATTCGAGTTCGACATTTCGCCTCTATCAATCTGTAATACTCCAGCAACATTGTGACCAACACATGAAGGCCCCCTTTTTCACCTTACATGCTCCAACATCTGCGTATGCCTACAAAACCACTCCACCTCCACACTTGCAGAACTGTTTTTATTGCTGTACGCAAAACAAAGATCTCCTGCTTTGCCTTAGAGAGAGATATTATTTCAGTACAATATGCCTGAGTAAGCACCTCTAAAAGTCAGGATTACATACACAGGGCTGTGTCACGCAAGGTACTAATTTTAGACTTGAGCCTTCGGGTAAAAGGTCACCAGTTTGATCTCCCCCAGCATGGAAGTTGAAACAATGGGGCAAGTTGTTTAAATTCCCACCCACCCATCATCCCTCCCCTTGATAGTCCACCCATCAGTAGATCGGCAGGTCGGGTGTGGTGGGTCAAAGTGTGGGTACACCCTCCTCGTCTTAAGAAAACTGGTCAGCACGAAAGAGGTATGGGTGGCACCCTCTAGAGCTCCCATTAAGTGAACGCCCTTCGGCTAGCGGTGACGGCGTGAGAGAAATTACAGGGCGGTACCTTTACCCCTCGCTACGCCATTGTATGAACTGTATGTTGAACTTCTTTCGCACCGTACGTAGCCAACCGTGCAACACAGTGGCCGTGGAAGACCAACCTCGCCGCAACCAGCAGCGACAACACCCCCCGGCCTACACTGACCGGTGTGATGTAGCCGAGAACCGGGCCAGCCAAGTGAGTGGAGAGGTTCCGTCGAGGGCAGAAGGTCCCGTGCTCCTTCACGATGTCCTTGGAGCGTGGCGAGAGAGTCACCAGGTCTCGCTCCCACACGCTGGCGTCCGCCTCCAGCAGCTGGGGAAGGACAACCATGCATATACAAGTTCATGTATTAGGTAGAGCCCTGTGAGCCATTCGGCTCTTGAATCGGGTGCAACCGCAACAAACAAAAAAACAAAAACATGAACAAGAAAACATCTAAAGTGAATAAGTGACTAAGTGCAAACAGAAATTCAAGAAAAGACAGCAAAATATTGCAGAAAAAAACACTGTACACAAACGCTGTGTGCAAAAATCCCAGTGGGATGCAAGTCAAACAACAACAACCACAAGACAACTTAGATTAAGACCATCAGTCTTACTCCGTACTACAACAAACAAACATGGCCAAACCAGTAAACTTTTCGAAATCACCAAAATAAAGCAATGAAACAGTGATCATAGGAACTGTGACGGAATTTTCACATATACACACACTCTGACCCGATGGTCATTTAAAAAAAAATGTAATGCTGGGTCAGAAAGTGCGGTGTTGTTGTTCGGGGGAGGGGGGGGAATGGAAGTAAACCGTAAAGAGAGGAAGACCCAAGAGGGCAAATGGCTTGACGACTGACGACATCAGAAGAGATTTGGTTGCCAGAAAGATGCGGCCACACTACTTGAGCATATTGGCACTGCAGGACGGTGGAAACAATAAATGACGAAATGTGCAGCGGACACCAAATTTACGCGTTTATCTGCCCACGGATCGAATATACCTGTCAACCCCTTATCAATGCCCTTACCTTATTACAGACCAACTCAGACCTTATTGGTCACCCCGTGCCCTTATACATCTCAACGTTCATCCTACAAAGTTCCCATTACAAGGGAGAAACACAAACAAATTGACAAACTTTTTTTTATTCCCCGCATTGAAACGGCTGTACGGTGTAGGGACCTGAAAACTCAATTGCATTGTACAAGAATACACGGAGTTAAAACGTGATGCGTTGACAGTTATGGGATGATGATGATGATTGCAAATTGAGTCAATGCAAGGCTCCACTACCGGCTAATATCCAGGCTCAAAACCTGCTTAGCTTACGAACGAGACGAGCTCGGGGAGAGATTTGAGTGGAGTCCGTGGGTCAATGAGGATGAGGAGCGGTGGTGCAGCGATTAGCACGCTGCGCTACGATCACGTGGGCACCCGAGTTCAATGTAAAGGCCAACACCAGGTGACGATTATCTTAACCGGTTCTGGGCCTCCTCAAGGTCGGCTCAGCCTCAAACGAGTAACCTGGTGCGGTGTGTAAGCATCGCCACCGGGGAGACAAACGCGGTCGGGCGTGGTGCTGGCCACCCACCACCCCCTCGTGTGCCGTGCCGGCCTTCATAGGCGCTCACTAACAGCACTTGCCCCAACAGTCTGTGAAGGCTACACGGGGGATCTTTGTCTTTTGGAGTGGGGCCCCTCACCGTGACCTCGGGCTTCTGCTGTCGCTCCTTCTGAGTCCGCGAGAGCGCGGAGCCCGGGACCAGCAACGTGAACAGCGCGAACAGCAGCAGCAGCAGCGGGGACATCACAGCCGACTACAGCGCCTCGACTGCCAACACTTCCCACAACACCCCCACCACGCCTCCACCTCCTCCATCACCACGCCTCCTCCATCACCACGCCTCCTCCATCACCACGCCTCCTCCATCACCACGCCTCCTCCATCACCACGCCTCCTCCACCTCCATCACCACGCCTTCTCCCTCCTCCATCACCACGCCTCCTCCATCACCACGCCTCCACCACCTCCATCACCACGCCTCCACCTCCTCCATCACCACGCCTCCTCCATCACCACGCCTCCTCCATCACCACGCCTCCTCCATCACCACGCCTCCTCCATCACCACGCCTCCTCCACCTCCATCACCACGCCTCCTCCACCTCCATCACCACGCCTCCTCCACCTCCATCACCACGCCTTCTCCCTCCTCCATCACCACGCCTTCTCCCTCCTCCATCACCACGCCTCCTCCATCACCACGCCTCCACCACCTCCATCACCACGCCTCCTCCCTCCTCCATCACCACGCCTCCTCCACCTCCATCACCACGCCTCCTCCACCTCCATCACCACGCCTTCTCCCTCCTCCATCACCACGCCTTCTCCCTCCTCCATCACCACGCCTCCTCCATCACCACGCCTCCACCACCTCCATCACCACGCCTCCTCCATCCTCCATCACCACGCCTCCTCCATCCTCCATCACCACGCCTTCTCCCTCCTCCATCACCACGCCTCCTCCCTCCTCCATCACCACGCCTCCACCACCTCCATCACCACGCCTCCTCCCTCCTCCATCACCACGCCTCCTCCATCCTCCATCACCACGCCTCCTCCATCCTCCATCACCACGCCTCCTCCCTCCTCCATCACCACGCCTCGTCTCCACCTCCATCACCACGCCTCCTCCATCACCACGCCTCCTCCTCCATCACCACGCCTCCTCCCTCCTCCATCACCACGCCTCCTCCCTCCTCCATCACCACGCCTCCTCCACCTCCATCACCACGCCTCCTCCCTCCTCCATCACCACGCCTCGTCTCCACCTCCATCACCACGCCTCCTCCATCACCACGCCTCCTCCTCCATCACCACGCCTCCTCCCTCCTCCATCACCACGCCTCCTCCCTCCTGCATCACCACGCCTCGTCTCCACCTCCATCACCACGCCTCCATCACCACGCCTCCATCACCACGCCTCCTCCATCACCACGCCTCCTCCCTCCTCCATCACCACGCCTCCTCCATCACCACGCCTTCTCCCTCCTCCATCACCACGCCTCCCACCTCCATCACCACGCCTCCACCTCCATCACCACGCCTTCTCCATCACCACGCTTCCACCTCCATCACCACGCCTCCTCCCACCTCCATCACCACGCCTCCCACCTCAGTCACCACGCCTCCTCCATCACCATCTCCCATCAAAGCTCCATATCGCCACTCCTGCCGACTTTTCCGTTCTTCTCCGCATGGTGGCAGCATCGTTATTGTTGTTTGAGGCGCTCGATTTAAATCTCGCCGCGGCGAGATGGCCTCGCGTTTGCGTGTTAATCTATAAATGACTCTCCGTGTGAAGCGGCGCAGACGACTGTGGTATATGATCAACCAGCACACTGCCGTGGCTTGTCCTTTAACTTTACATTTGCTGTTCTGATGCTTCTAGATTTGAAGCTTTCGTGACTGCAAGGATTCATATTTTTTGGCTTTTTCGGTAAAGTCACGTAGGTAAAAAAATTTAATTAATAAAAGTATTTTACTTTTCTAAAGTATTTTACTTTTATTAATTTTAATTTTTTACCTACGTGACTTTACCGAAAAAAACCTAAGAATATGATGTTCTGGTGCGTTTGATGGCTGCATCAGTCTTCGATGGGCAATGCAACACTCGCTCCATCCTGTACTTTGCACCACAGCTTGCGGAAACAACGCTTCTTTGCGGTTGGTGAAGAAGAGGCGATGATGTTTCATGCAATGTCTGTGGGTATATTCCATCCGTTTTAAATAAACGATACGAGTATTGTAGTTACACACCTCCTAGGCCCTGTCCCAAAATGTCTAACACGGGTTTGAAGATTCGCTTGTGGGAAAAGCGTTTGAAGTCGTGGTCAGCTCTGATGTTGGTGCAGTGTGTAGCACCAACGTGGACTTGGCATCAGGCACGAAAACACGAGGCAGACCACGCGTATATGCAGGCCTGGCAATCTGCGTTTGTTTAACCAGGCGAAGTAACTCAAGAGCCCCAGGGTTAGTCTCATTTGCAAGAATTTGGGGGCAAATAAGCAGACATGTCTCCACTTATCCGTCCCTCTACAAAAAATAAATCTTAAGAATTTTATTAGACGACCCATCAGCCGCATGCCTTTCCAGAAGTGCACAATTTCTGCCGCGTTGTGTCAAAACAAACAAACTGTGGACCGGTTTAATTCGAGCAAGCCTGAATCTGCCGATGAGACACTATATCTAAACCGGTCCAGAGTTGACGTCTCTTGAAGCAATGCTTGCTACTTTTATGCACTGCCAGAAGGCTGTGAGGCCCCGATGGGAGTTGATGTAGAAAATACTTTTTTTATGTGGAGACATTCAAGCAACCCATGAACGGTCCGATGCAATCCCTGCAGCTTGGCCTGAGCCACGGGGTTCCGCCGCTGTCTTGAGAGAGGATCATTGTCGGGAGACGCGTGCATCATCCCAAACCTCCAGAGCCCTGTGCTGAGCACACCCCACGGCAAAGGCAGCAATGACGCCGGTCATATTTTCTCAGGGCCAACGTGTGTCGTCTAGACCAGGGCTCAGAAACCAAAATAACAAGAAGAGCCGTTTTTTACGAATTCGGTTTAAAAAAAAAACTTTATATTTCAGGAGCCGCAATGCACTGTGGTGAATACGGAACGGTGGGTCCTTAATAAATAACTGTCACCAAGCAGTCCTTTCAAGAGCCGCAGTTTGTCGACCCCTGGTCTAGATGTAGGGCTGCCGCGATATAAAATTTCACACTTCGACGACAATCGCGGTATCATTTTTTTCTAAACTTTTATGGCATTGCTTTCGTACTTTGCTTCTGATATGAATAAACAGTGCATACGTTTTGATTTAAAGCTTTCGTGACTGCAGGGATTCATCTTCTTGGTTCTTTCGGTAAAGTCACGTAGAAGGGAAATAATTTCATTCAGACACTCATTCAGACGCTGTCTTTCCGACAGACCTGTTCTTCACCTGATGACGGCTGCTTGCGTTGTGGCCGAAACGTCGTGAGAATTATTTTATTATGTTTTATTTTTATAATTTTATTATTTCCCTTCTACGTGACTTTACCGAAAGAACCAATAATATATATAATATATTTATATCGTATATAATATATCGCGGCAACCCTAGCGACATAGAGGCGAGACTCCGCACCGAATGACGAGGCCGGCTGGAGACGTCTCTCCGTGGAGGGACGAGGGACAGGCGGTCGCTTAACAGTGGAATCAAATACTCTGGTTCCTGAATGTTTATTAAATTACCCCCAACCAAAAATAGAATACAAAACAGTGCAAGCAAATGAGGTCATTTTTTTCTGTTTGTCATTAATGTGCAACTTTGCTGATCGTCAACTTTGTGAGTCATGAGTGGTCCACAGTCCCGTGTTGTAGCGAGCTTATCTCTGGCTTTGTGTGTAGCGTGTGGTCTGCAGTGCTGTGTTGTAACGGAGCTTATCTCTGGCTTTGTGTGTAAGCGTGTCGTCTGCAGTGCTGTGTTGTAACGGAGCTTATCTCTGTCTTTGTGTGTAGCGTGTGGTCTATAGTGCCGTGGTGTAGCGAACTTCTTTCTGGCTCTCTGCATCGGAGCCTGGGTGGCTCGATCCCGTTGAGCAGCCGTTCGTGGTCTCTTTGTCGGGCGGGCCCTGGGAGCTCGCAAGATGCGCGTATCGTCCCGTGCGGTGCTGGGCAAGGTAGGGGCCCCAGTCGGCCTCGGGCCTGCAGACGGCCTGGAAGCGCTGTCATGTCAAGAAGAGTGCAGAGTTAGATTATTGTGGAGAGCTTCATCGATGTCAACACCTAATAATCTCGACGTTTATCCGTACAGACATTATTTTGTCCACAAAGACAAAGATCCCACCATATAGCCTTAACAGACTGTTGGGGCAAGTGTTGTGAGCGAGCACCAGGTATGTTCAACATTGCAAGTACCAAAGCTCTCAAGCCTTATCCAGACCACCAGCTCAACATACCTGAGCGTGTGGCCATTTTGTCATTTAGAACACCAACTCGGAAGAGGTGAAAAAATGTTTGAGACCATCTCGACAGGCAACAGTGAAACAAGCTATAGATGGGTTTCATCCTCATTATAGTCATCCCTGTTTGCTGCTCTTGTATACATCTAGGAGCCCGATATGAAGAGGGCCGTAGCCTTGAGATTCTGGGGACCCCATTCGCACTGCCTCAAAGGAACAATTCACATCTGTAAACGATGAGAAATGCCCCATCGCAACAGAAAAAAGTGTACAGGCTGGAAGACCAAAAATTAAACAACACACAAGGATGTGCATTGCGCATTCAAACTTATTCAGTCCCTGTCCAAAACCAGAGGTGCTTCGTTTGAGCGGTGCAGCCTCACCTCCCAGATGGTGCCACCTTCCGCCTTGATGATCTTCCACACGCCAATGATAGGGATCCAGATGAGACTGAAGATGATCATGCACCAGCCAAGTGCAATGGCCCACATGGGGTAGACCACGTCTCCGTATGTTGGTGCTTGAAATGTGATGATTGACCACAGGAAGATGGCCTAAAACGGATGTTTTTTTTACATTCAATGGATGAGGCTCGTGGAAACAACAGGTCATGTGAAATTCAAGCACAGGATGCTGTTGCTTTTCATGATCAAAATACATTTTCCAAAATGACTAACCTGCTCTCACGCACCTGATTAGCTCTTACTTTTCATCAGCATTTACGCGAGATAGACATTCTCAATTGTACTTTCCAGTTTTGCCCATTATCACACGTGTGTGTGTGTGTGTGTATATATAAATCGGCCTTAAATATCATAATGGGCAATTTAGAAGACAAGCAACTGCATAAGCAAACTGGATTACGAAAACAAATCTACAATTGACCACGTACGTACGTACGATTATCTGGAGGGAGAAGGCCATGGTTAGTCGTGCACAGTCGGGAAGTGATTTGAGGCAGCCATCGTCGTGAGTGCTCATAAATTGACTTGCGGTAAGGAGAGGCGATGGACTTACGATGAGGAGTAGGGGTGAGATCACGAACCAACACGCACGCCACCAAATCCAGAAAAGCTGTGACTTCTTCCCAATCATCATCTCAATGTCGCGGATGAAACGGTTTCCACCTGAAAGTGTGCAAACACACTTACCTCCAGCTCTCAGAGGGCCGTGCTCGAATTACAAATGTAAAGCAGACATGTAGCAGTGGCCGTATAACAGGTGGCCAATGTCAAAATGGTAATCCTCGAAGCACACCGCTATAGCAGGAGTTCATAAGGCAGTGTTTGTTCACGGTGGTTATGGTAAAATACTTTGGTGTGCAACTGGTGAATCCGATTTGAAGTGGACACGTCCCTTAAGACTTCCCTTTACCAAGCTGTTGGTTCGACTACTGAAATACATGACATGTGCTCATAAGTGGAAAGCGCAGGCAGGGTCATTGGTTGTCTTGCAAGAAGACACCGTACGTACTCAACACCTCTCGAAGGCAGACAGGATTAAGCTATAATTACGTGTGTGCCAAAAAGTCTTCCCAAAATGTTTTGTTTTAACTCCAGCTGGAATACCGTCGGCACGTAAACCAAGCCGTGTGACGGAAGGACAAGTTGGTGTGGTCTTTCTTAAACATGTTTCAATTAAAATGCATTTAAATTATAAAATGTCCAAGAATCTCACCGCACCATCAGTAGGCCGCGATCGGTGAACCAGTGCCCGTGGGTACCCGTGTGGCATGAGCGTAGAACGCACGCAGCTTGCAATGTTTTGTACTTTAAATATTTTTGGGAGGCATATGGCCAAAATCTTGACTGAGCTGAGTCTGGCCCTGAGAGGTTTTAGGATTGGAATAAGGAACTACAACCCACATGTTGGCTGAGATGAGTTTTACATGGAGACACAGACTGCTGTCTTATTTGCTACTCACAATCCTCCACGACAGAGCACAAGTGCTTCTAGCGCAGGACATGCGTGCACTTGCATAGACAAATAAACATGTGACGCGTGCTCCTTCACAAAAGTAACATCTCATCCACCACCTAATGGAATTTCAGGACCAATAGTACCCAGGTAGCCTTTGCCATACAGCAACAATGCCTGTACTCCACTGAATTCGATTTGGAAGCCCAAATTTTACGTCGATGACTTGTCGATGCCATCAGTCTATCCAGTATCATGAATCTAAAGGCCACACTGCTGGTGCAACTGTAGAGTCGATGCCGGTTCAGAGTTATCTTTGGATAAACAATGCTCTCGCGAGCACTGGCTTGTATCGTTGCAGCTAAATGTGTTATATCTCACCATATATCCAGTTGATTCCAATCAGCTCTAGCGCAGCAGCCACCAAAAGTCCCCACCCACCGCAGAAATGGTCAACCAGATTCACCCAGTAGATCCCAGTCTTGGGAGATGAAGACACGCATACACACGGTAATACAACTGTGAATGCACATCTTGCCTAAATACGTAGAGTATCCCAAGATTCCGTACAGAGTGATTCACAGAATAAAATAATCATAAGCTAGGCTCCGACGTCGATTGAACCTCAGTTGGGCTGCATGCGGCGTGTGGGCCACGTGGTTTGGGCAACAAAGTGTCACCTTGGCAAGAGAACATGGGGCACCTGAGTTGTGGTTGTCAGCCCGAGCAGGAACAGCAACACGCACACCGAGAAGAGTAGCGGGAGGCGGCGCTTGCGGAAGAAGTTGGGGAACTCGTCCACCAATCCCGTGGTCACCGTCTCTGCAGGCGACACCACGTGCTGTGCACTCACGGAGCAGCTGCTCTTTCAATCGTTTGCCTGCTCTGAGCAGGTACTTTTTGTTTTGATTTGCTCGGTAAAGCCCACTGGGCTGTACAGGTTTTTTTCAGAAGTGACCTGACCGCAAATGACAGCTCAACGAAATTGGCTTGTCGTGCGGAAATTTATAGTGGCCAGAAACTCTAAACGCATGTTTCCAAATGTGGAGGGGAAAACTGAGGGACCGGGAGAAAAAATCCACGTGACCACAGCGAGAACATGCAAACTCCAAAAATACAGGCGTCGGGTCCCACACGTATCATGCCTAGAATAAAAAAAATGTGTTCTCTATTTTGGAACAACTCAAGACTTTTTATCAGGGTTCTACTTTGGATTGTTTGTCAGCTTCCTTAACATCATGTATTTCTACGTTCCAATACCTATGCTCCTTACTTTCACCAACCCTACTCTTACCAACGTGGCTACGTTTTAAATACTCCCCATGGCCAGCATTGTGTGGCGAGGCCCTCTTCCAGTAGTGCAATGACGTCAGGGCTGTCCGTACGCGTACATGCTGTTACCCCGAACACTCGGATGTTTCTTTTTATTCAACTCACCGGTGAAGGAACAGATTACGAGCCATGCAAGGGGCCCAGAGCGCATGAACCCTGAATGTGGAGCGACGCCTCCGTGCTCCACAGCATGGGCACGAGCCTTTTTTGAGAGGCATGGTTCATGGGAAATGTGACGCGGACTTACCTATAGTGGCAAACTGGCTGTCGAGGCCCAGCGTGAGGAACATGAGGAAGAAGAGGATTGACCAAAGGGGAGAGATTGGCAGTTGTGCCAGCGCTTCAGGGTAGGCCACAAACGCCAGTCCAAATCCTGTGGACAACAACATCGCCTTTGTCTCTCCAGTGGCAATGCTTTTACACACCATACCAGGTACTCATTTGAGGCTGAGTCGACTTAGGGGAGGCCCAGGACCGGTTCAAATAATCGTCGCTGGTGTTAGCCGTGAGCGAGAATCAACCTGGGGTCGCCGGGTTTATAGCGCAGCACTATACCAATGTCTGCATAGCACCAACCGCACAGGAACTGTGCAATAGCTGTGCAATAGCTGCACACGGGATCCATGTAATGGCTAATAATAGTTTTTTTTACCCTTTTTTCTGGCAGCAAAACTGAAACCTTTTTACAAGGAATCATGTTTACATTAACCACAATACCTGCAGTCAGAATGCAAACACAAAACAGCACTCTGATAATGTATGCATTGTCCTTGAAATTGATTGGTCCACACCAGAAACAGCTTTCGTTAGAGCCCAGTCTCATATGGTGTTCGACCAGATGACGCCAAAAGGCGCACAACTCAAAGACAACGCCACCATCAGAGTAATGAGGGCTCGGGGTAAGGATTTACATCATGAGGCCTCCTTTGCCAGTAGCAAAATATAATATTAGTTTTTTTTTACCCTTTTTTCTGGCAACAAAACTGAAACTTTTTACTGTGCAATAGCTGCACACGGGAACCGTGCAGGTAACTACAGAAACTCACCGGCATCGGCCACCTCTGAAACCGGCTGCCCGGTGGTGTAAGCCATGTGCCCAAGAACACTGAAGATCACAAAGCCGGCGAAGACGCTGGTGGAGCAGTTGGTGATGGTGACGACGAGAGCGTCCTTGAAGCAGTTGTTGTGGAACTTGTTGTAGGAGGTGAGAGCGATGAGGCAGCCGGAGGCCGTGGCCAGGGAGAAGACGATCTGGGTGGCTGCGTCCTTCCACACCTGAAGACAAAGACAAAGATTCCCCCCCCCCGTATAGCCTCGACAGACTGTTGGGGCAAGTGCTGTTGGAGAACACCTAAGAGCACACACCCAGGCGTACACGTACAGTGGCTGCGCATGCAAAATGCACCCTTGGCTCGAGATAAACGTGGGTAAAACGAATTTCTGGAGGCACAAACTTGGCAACGCACGATACGCACGATGCAATTTGGGTTTTTGTCGCGTGAAAATACAGCTGTGTCTGTAGAAGTTGTACAAAAAGATTGGGAACCAGCGGAGGGAATCCCAGGACCAGTTCAGATGTCATTTACCACTGATGTGAAAAAAACTCGGGTCACTGGGTTCATAGCACCTCCGATTAGCATGGTTGGCTACGTACGGTGCAAAGGAAGAAGTTCTACAAACATATGTAGTGACACTCGGACAACTTGAACTGTAGAGGTTGCTTTATTTATTACTTAGGACGCGCCACGCAGATAACTTGACTTGGGCAGGGATAACGCACAGATCGCTTGGGCCAGGGATGGCACGCAAGTAGCGATGACGTGAAGACAGCGATGGCGTGAAGACAGTCGACCCCGATCCCACAGCAGCCCCGAACCTCGCCTCTCACCCCTTTTATTGCCGGCGTGGCCCCCCCACTCCGCCTTCGGCCGCGCCCTCTTCCTCGAATTAGATCGCACTTTCCCGAACTTTCCAGACGGTTCCCTTCTGTCGTTACCCCTCGTGACCACTCGGCCATGCACTGTCCCTGCACCCGCACTGTCTCGACACCAGCACCATCTCACTCCCCGCACTGTCCCTACATTTACATAGCACAGTGCACTAACAATTATACCACCGCTCTACTCCCCACGGTTAATTGTCCAAGAGGAGGAATGGATTTGTCTGGCTTCGGTGTGGAGGTTTGGAGTGGGAAAAGCTAAAGCCATGACGAACCTCGGCAGATTGCAGCTTCGTGAAGTTGGACTGGCGTCCGATGTAGTACTCGATGCCCAGGATGGCTCCCGGCAGCGTTGCCCCGCGGATCAACAGAATGATGAGCACCACGTATGGGAAGATGGCCGTGAAGTACACCACCTGCATGCGAAACATGCAGTCCATAACCCCACATTGAATCACAAATATAGTCGCAATCGTACGGCAACACGGGCAAAAAGGTGATTTCCAGATTAACAATATGCAATTGTGACCATAGGATGAGTCCTCTCAGCATGCCTTGCATGTCACGTGACATCACCATTCTGCACGTGCAATGCGCACAGCATTGTTTAAAAGATGGCGAGTCAATGTTGTGGCCCTGTCATTTCGCACAACAGCAGGATAATGAGACGGCTCTACACCGGCTCCATCCTTCTTAGGAATCACTGAGGCCAGTCTAGGCATCCTTGGTTTCCCCTCCTGCTCCCTTGTGCCTCGCGAGCCGGATGTTGCTTAGGGGCAACAATAAACCATCCCGAACGCTTCCCATCCTCCTGTAAAACGATGCAAAAAGTCGTCGGGACGGGCGAGTGTGCCCCTCTGACCTCCTGGCCGTGCCCCCGCGTGCCCCCTTCTCAGCGTGCGAGCGCCCACCTTGCCAGACGACTTGATTCCCTTGACGAGTGCCGCGCACGTGACGATCCAGGACAGCAGCAGGGTGAGCGCGAGGTGCCACACGACGTCCCCTGTTTCGTCCATGGATTCCGACCGCCGCAGAGCGTACTTGCTGGAGGGGAGCGGGGCACCCGCGCGCACACGTGCATCGGTGATTCTTGATACGTAGGTCTGCTCGGCGAATATCGCGATCAGCAGCCTCATTCGCTTAACAGCCTCGTTCAAAGAGCATATTTATATCCTTATTCCACTGGGACATCTGATTCGATCCGAGCCAGCGCAGGGCCCTCGAGGTATGGGTGCTTTTCTACTGGATACTTTGGGGGCCGTCCATAAATGACGTCACGCGATTTTGGACGATTTTTGACCCCCCCCTCCCTTCGTCACACGGCGTCACAAAAAGTCAGACCCCCCCTCAAATATGACGTCACAAAGCTCTGCCCCCCCCCCAAAAAAAAATAAAACATGCTTCAAATCGCTTTAAACTATTGTCATTGTAGTGCGTATTTAATGTGGCGCTGCACTCTGATGTTGTAGGAGAAAACATTTATTAAAACGTCTATTTAATAAAGTAGAACGTCTTGTCTATATTTATTTAAATATGGACGGCTCCTTGTATGCCGAGGCAGATCTCTTGTGGCCCCAACAGGCAGGGCCAGTGACGGCGCAATCGACGCGTTCGTTGCACGTCAGGTCGGTCGAGACACGGTGAGGGCACGGCGTGACCGCGTCATTTAAACGCACCTCGACTCGTTCGTTGTGTGTGTCGGTGGCAGAGCTGTGGCATTGCAATGGGAACACTTCCAGTGTTTCGTGAGCCGCACCGGGCTGGCTTGGCATGGGCACGGAACGTCACAGTTGTACCGTGTAAAAGAGCTATTATTTGCACTCTGTATGTATGTTGAACTTTTTTCACACCATGCATTGCCAACCGTGCCAATCGGAGGTTTTAATGCGGCACGCTGCATCTGCTGCTTATTTACACAGCCTCACAGATGGACAAACCGAAATGGAGAGAAATATTTATTTAAAATGCAAATTATGGATTTCAAGAGTTTTGGAACCATTTGTGAGTGTCTATACTTATTATTATTTTCAAACTGCTTTGCCCGTTATACTTTTGCAAGTACCGTACAGTGTGTAACACATCTTACACCAAAAGTAGCGAGTGACCCAGTGCTCAAACCGAGGCCCCTAGAGCTGCTGATTCTGCGTCACAACACGAGCGTCAGCCCCGCTGAAGGGGCTTGCGATGGGAGAGCGCTGGGCTGCTACTGCTGTGTGTGTGTGTGCGGATGGGCAATCCTCACTTCCAGTACTGCTCGCTGGGCGTCTGCTTGCTGGAATTGACGCTGGAACAGTTTGCCTCTGCCAGGGAGCTGTTGCAAACTTGGAACAGAGGGATGCAATGTCGCAAAAAGTGAGCAGTCCCAACTATAAATGTAAGTCCATAATAATTTACTTCATGCTTTAATGCGCCGACAACGAAAAGGTGAAAATAGTGCGGTGCTGATAATGCACACTTCCCTAGCGACTCCACGCCACACGTGGTTTCACGTCTCACCTGAGCGGTCGAAGCAGTTTTCGTCAGCTCCCCACCACTCCTTGCAGGATGACCACGGCAGCTCGGACGTGAAGCTCGCAAACAGGTAGAAGAGGCCATAGGCGATGATGGAGTTGTAGTAGAGTGCGATGAGGGAGGACGTTATCACCATCATCCAGCCCAAGCCTACGAGAGGGAGGAGAGGGAAAGAGGATATGGGGTTATTTTTTTCATTCTTTTCAAATATTCAGACTCTGGACATGCTTGCAAACGAGATGTTCAATTTCAATAAATTTTCCAGGTACACATATTTATTAAAGTAAAAAAAAGCCATCATCTCAATTTGATCAACAAGGCAGGGTTCTCAGCCAGGGCTTCATGGTCTCTTGGGGGACTGGACACGGATTTATTGAGTGGGGGGGGGGGGGTTCCTCCCAGTCTGACTCTATCCTGAGACCTACTCAGAGACGCACTTCGTTTATCTGTGCACCTTTCAACTCGGGAAGACACCAATCTCTGTTATGATGGGGCTCTGCGTAATACGCTGCGTGAGCTGGCTCCGGTGACGAGCCCACTGCGAACGAACCCCCGGCCGCACAGACCCCGGCCTCGGTCGCACCTCAAGTTCACACCCCCCCCCCCCCCCCCCACATGTGTCGCTGACCTTTGAGGATAGGGACGACCTTCCATATGGTGATGGGACCCAGGCTGGCGAACTGGCCAATGGAGCACTCGAGGAAGAAGAGCGGGAGCCCCACAAAGGCCAGCATGATGATGTAGGGAATGAGGAAGGCTCCTGTGGGGGCAACATCCGGTGGGGGGGGGGGGCACAGGGGCAGGAGAAGAGGACGCGTTTGAGAACCGGGCATGAGAACAAATGTCGAGCCGTTGGTAACACGATACCTTGAATATATTCTCGGTGTTCAATGCAGATTCTATAAATGTACATGTGATTGGAATGCCGCTGCAGTGTGATGGTTAGCAGCACACTGTACTTGCAATCCAGGTGTCGCCGGTTTGATCTCCCACCGTGGTAGTTCAAACAAGGAGGCAGGTTTATTAAATCCCGATATATGAATCGCAATGGACACGTCACAAGATTGCAATCCAGATGAAACACAATTCAGACGTTTTTCTGCAATCCAACTTATTTGAGTGAAGTTAAAACAGAAGTATGCATTCGTGAGTCCTTGACATAGAATAGGAAATTGCAGTGACGGAACACTTACGGCTGGAAAATAAACTGAATGTAGCTGAGAATGCTTAACTAAATTATGGAGGCTTCACGCCCATTTTAAGCTGATGGATTACTGACCCTGCAAAAAACTGTAATCTTAATAGCCTCACTAAATGGGTCGTTCTTACAGATTCAAAAAGGTTTAACCTGTCGTTTTACTGATATGTAAAAACAATATAAATAAGATGGGCCAATGAAGAGTCCACCCATCGCAATGACATTCTGTGTTGAAGCCTCGCGATGGTTAATGGAACAGCCCTGCAAGTGCTCGCTCGCACCACCGCTGGTAGAAGACTTTCCACGACAGCAGGGGTCTGTAGCCTGCGGCTCCACAGGCGCATGCGGCTCTTCAAGGACTGATTCATCTTCTTGGTTCTTTCGGTAAAGTCACGTAGAAGGGAAAAAACAAAATAATAAAAATAAAACATAATAAAATAATTCTCACCACGTTTCGGCCACAACGCAAGCAGCCGTCCTCAGGTGAAGACCAGGTCTGTCGGGGAGACAGCGTTGTGGCCGAAACGTCGTGAGAATTATTTTATTATGTTTCATTTTTATTATTTTATTATTTCCCTTCTACGTGACTTTACCGAAAGAACCAAGAAGATGAATCCCTGCAGTCACGAAAACTTTAAATCAAAATTGAAGGACTGCTTCGTGATGGTTATTTATTCCGGATGGTCTCGCATTCACATGCATCGCGGCTCTTTAAATATTTTAGTTTTTTTTTACCGGATTCGGCAAAAATGGCTCTCGAATCGTGGTTGTTCAACTTCGCTGCAGCCTTGCACCCCTCCAGTTCTCAATCGCTTAAAACAATGTACAATGTTAATAAACACACAGGGGGTTTGACGAAACAAATTTGTAGTCACTGACTTTACCGAAAGAACCAAGAAGATGAATCCCTGCAGTCACGAAAGCTTTAAATCGAAATTTAAGGTTGTACTTACGAGCCCATGCTTAATTTGTGTTTCGATGATTTACTTTCTAAAAAAATCTGTCCGTGTCTCGCACTGCTCTGGAGGGTGTTTTTTGCCTACTCTTCCAACAGGAGGGGAGGAGAGGGGAACTTTATAAACTAAAACTGATTTTATATTAAACTTACCACAGTGGCCTCCACGAAAGTAATCTCAACTTAGAGTACATATCGAGGTCATTCTAGTTGAATACTTGATCTATATTAGCTTTGGCTATGGTTAACATACAAGGTATCCGTGTGTCTTTCAACAAGAGGTGTATGGACGTGTAGAAAACACATGGGCAATATCCACAATGCATTTGTGAACATAGGCACACCTATAGGGATACATAACTTGCAGGAAAAAAAAAACCTCACCAGCCCTGCAATCTACAAGGCCCGCATGGCCTTGAGTTGCAATGCGGTTTGTGTTTTACGCTGTTCAACCTTGGTTCTCGACACAATAAAGAAACATTTATGATGCCAAGTGTTGTAATTTATGATCAACCCTCGCTGTTGTTCCGCACATGTCAAAGGTCTTGCTTATTGCTGAATGGGATTTTACTTGACTTATTTTATATCCTTTGGTCAAAACTTCACACAAATAACTGGAGAATTAGGCACGTTAAACATAATTCTGGTTGATAGCTACTCTCGATGTGGTAGAAAACCCTTCCCCAAATCCAGCTTGCTCGTGTGTGTTTGACTGGTCTCTAAAAATCAATCTGTTTCTTATTAATTTAATGAACGATGCCTGTGTGTGTGCGCGCAAGTAGGTTAAATCGCTTTGATGAATAAATCCGTTATGCCCACTCTGCCATGATTTAGAAGAATTTGTAATGACAAAAAAAGAGCTGAATATTGCCTGGCAGCATGGAGAGATGCATTCTTGAAATTACACTGAGAGATAGAAAGAGACTCGCATGGATTAGGAACATGCACACAAGATCTTGACTGTCTTAAAGCTTTCGTGGCTGCAGGAATTCATATTGTTAGGTCTTTCGGTAAATACACGTAGATAGTTTAACACGTAGGCTTTCGCGACCAATGTTATTCATAATCAACGTTTTTGGGTTTAGATCGCGTTATTTATAAATGTGTCGTAACCCTCCACCACCCGACACGGCCAATCAGTACACATTTTTTACTGATTGGCCGTGTCGGGTGGTGGAGGGTTACGACACATTTATAAATAACGCGATCTAAACACGTAGATAGGTTCAAAGAAAATAACCAAAAATAACAAAACAAAAAACCAAGAATATGCACACACGAGTGAGAGACATAAATCTGGTTGTTGAGAAAACCAGAAGGCCTTAGAGAGGACGTATCGTTAGAAGGCAGAGTGGCTGGTGGACAAGCCTGATAGCAGAGCAGAGATCACAACTGAGCATGGCCACCGTGGAGATGGAGTGTGCAGGACTGTGTGGAAAGACGACAGTGTGAGGTCCTCATCCAGTCGTTGGTAGACCAGGCACTATGATAATGATATTAATTGGGTCTGAGTGATTTCTATCTCAAATGAACATCGTGGTGGTGCTCATCTCCTGTTTATAGCTCTGAGCCAGCGGTAGAAGCTCCACGTTTCTATGACGGCAGCAAGTCTATCCATTGGACAACCAGTGCTAAATTTCGATTTAAAGCTTTCGTGACTGCAGGGATTCATCTTCTTGGTTCTTTCGGTAAAGTCACGTAGAATGGAAATAATAAAATAATAATAATAAAACATAATAAAATAATTCTCACGACGTTTCGGCCACAACGCAAGCAGCCATCCTCAGGTGGAGAACAGGTCTGTCGAGGAGACAGAGTCTGAAAAAAAATGAGTACGTTGCTATTCAATTTCTCTTATTGTTGTATACTACGTTGCAAGGCGGTGTGTGGGCGAAACTTAGGGGGGAGGTCCTCATCCAGCAGTAGATTTACAAAAGGGCCGTACACGTATGTGTTCTTCCTTGCGCAAAGGCATGTGGAAAAAATACACAAGGCGATTACCAGAAATGTGTGAGGTGACACTCCTGGCCACCACAGACCGTGACGTATAAACATGCCACGTTTCTCTTTACAGGCACTTATTTCTAGTCAAGCCCTGTTGTGAGGCCTCGAATGGACTTCGCCGGTTATAAAGGTACTTATTTATGACTTTGAAGACACGGACTCGATTGTTGCGTTGCAGATTCACGGTGGGGTAGATGCCCTCTGTGGAGATTACGAATGAGACGAAAAAGGTTCAGAGATGAAAGAAGGGGAACAAGGTGCAGTTGATGAAATGATGGCTGAGAAGGGAAAGGTATCTTTTCTTAGCAAAATTTACTGCTGATGACAAAACCAAGTTTAATAAAAGCTCCACAGATGATAAGATGAAACCTTAAAACACCAGCATCGTGCCATGACTACAAGACAGAACACGCCTGTGCAATTTACATTAAGCACATTACAACACGAATCACAGAACAATAATTCCGTATGCATAATATACCGGCAACCTCAACCAAATGAGAATGCATTGAATGGAAGAGGTCAGCTCAATACACCACATCTCTCTTGTATTGTTTTCATTTATATTCTTTGGTTCTTTCAGATGACGTCATCAGATGACAGACGCTTGTGTTTTGCCCGAAACGTCGTGATTTATTTTATTTTATACCGACGTGACTTTACCGAAATAACCAAAGAGTATGGATTCCTGCAGTCACGAAAGCTTCAAATCAAGTGTTTTCATTTGTTCATAATCATGAAAATAGAGCAATTACGCATTGAGCTGCCAATGTACAAAACTAGTGTTGCAACAGAGCAAGATGTTCCTGCTTTAGACGAATCGGGCATTTGGTCAAAATTCAACACTGCTCCCAAATATTCAGCACAGCCAAATGTTCAGTGCATCTCCATATAGGCGCATGACCAACTACACTATATGGTAAAAGCATTGCTCGTAACACATTCCTGCGGAGGGAGCTGGTAGGAACGTTGGGTTGCTCGGTCAATGGCCAGGGTCAACGGCGGCGTGGTGTATTCCGCAAATATGGCCGACTGTGAGGGCGGACACAAGCCGGCGTGAGTAGGTTAAACGTCGAGTTTTATAAGGGCACCACGGGGTGACCAGCCCCTCCCCACCCAGCCCCACCCCTCCCACCCCCCACCCAGCCCCACCCTCCCCACCCAGCCCCTCCCCACCCAGCCCCTCCCCGCCCTCCCCACCCAGCCCCTCCCCACCCTCCCCTCTCCACCCAGCCCCACACCTCCCATTTTTGGATTCACGACGGATGGACGGACACAATAATCCCCTGTGGGCTGGTGTAACCAGGAGGTTCCTACCAGTATAATGCCAGAACGTGTGTGTGCATGAATGTGGCAAGCGGTGGTGCAGTGGTTAGAGCACTGTGCTGCAGACTTGGTGACCCGGGTTTGATTCCCGCTCACGGCCAACATCAGTGACGAATATATTAACTGATCCTAGGCCTCCCCTAGGTCGACTCAGCCTAAAATGAGTCCCTAGCGTTCTGTAAACATCAGCACCAGGGAGACGGCAGTCGGGCATGGTGCTGGCCACCTACTCCCCTCGTGTGCCGTGCCGGCCTTAATAGGTGCTACTAGCTAACAGCACTTGCCCCTAACAATCTGTTAAGGCTATACAGGGGGGGGGGTATCTTTGTCTCTATCTCTTTGCACGAGTGCGCGCTCACCGCCGCCATTCTTGTAGGCCAGGTAGGGGAACCTCCACAGGTTTCCCAGCCCCACGGCGTTGCCGATCATGGAGAGCATGTACTCGCTCTTTGACGTCCAGTTGCCGCGCTCCGCATTCTCATCTCCGGAGCCGCTCACGTCATCCTGCGTGGCCCATCACAATGCCTCCGACGTTGGGTTAAAGACGCGCGCGCAAAAAAAAGCATCCCCGCAATTCAACGGAAAGCGCACTCATATTTCAAGCACGTGCCTCTCTCCGATTCTTGGCACTTTTCATCTTTTGTTCCACTTTAATTGAAACTAAACAATTTTTTTTTATTTTACCAGGTAAGGCCCATTGAGTCTATATAGCTCTTTTCAGAAGCGATTTGGCCACAAATTATAGCCCAACGAAGTGGCTTATCATGTGGACATTTATAGCAGCCAAATACTCTTAAACACATGTTTATAAATGTGGAGGGAAAAACGGGAGGACCTAAAGTCGAATCCACACGACCACGGGGAGAAAATGCAAACTCCAAATATACAGGCGTCAGGATCTGGATCGGGGACGTTTCGCTCCTCTTATAATCCGGCGTGCGCGCACTCGTGCGTGTGTGCGTGCGTGTGTGCGTGAGACCAGATTTGCGTGACCTTATTGACAAGTGGCGGCGTGGTGGTGGCGGTGGTGGTTGATGATGTCTGCAAGTTTGCGCGTCTTGACTTTTTTCCCGGAGCGCGTCTTATTATGATCGCGGGGATTGGTCGCAAAAGACGCGTGGACGCAGCCGGTGGCCTCACCTGGGACCGCTCGCCGCTCTCCTCTTGTCGCGAGCCGCGCTTGGCAGGAACCGCCACGGCATCGACCCCACCGCCGCTGTCGCCCATTCGACCTCTTGGGAGTTGCCGCCACCACCGCCGCCACCACCAACTCGGTCCGTGCGTCCTGTGGCCGTAGGGAGGTGTGGGGTGGTGGTGCTGGTTGGTTGTGGGTGTGGAGAAACGGGCAAAGGCGCAGCACCGCAAAAGCCCCCCTCACGCCCACTGCTGCCGCAGAGGAGGAGGCTCCACTTGCGGTAGCTGTTCGGCTCTTGGCCTACTCTTCGACTTTTGAGAACGACTGGTGGGGGGGGGGCACGGCGTTTGATCCCACCGCGCGCCGCCTTGCGATTGACCGCTATGTGTGGTCTACTGTCCGCTGAACTTCTTTCGCACCGTACGAAGCCAACCGTGCTGATCGGAGCTGCTGGGTGGGTACAGGCAGGGAGGGGGGGGGGCGTGGGGTTTTAAGATGCCCCAAACAACTCTTCAGAATCACGATCAGAACATTAATTCGTGCTGGAGAAATCCGATGAGCCATGAAGCTCTTTTTCACAGACGTCCAGCAAGGCCAGTGTGCTGACCACCGCACCACGACAGATTTGACCTTTTACAACAACCACCTTCGACGAGCTAAACCCAATTGTTTGGGTCTTTCGGTAAAGTCACGTAGATAGGTTCACAGAAAATGTTTTCAAAAATCACAAAAAACTACGACGTTTCGATCGCAACACAAGCGTTCTTCATCAGGAACCTATCTACATGGCTTTACCGAAAGACCCAAATAATATGAATTCCTGCACTCACGAAAGCTTTAAGTCAAGAGCTAAACCAACTTAACCTGCGCTAACTAAACACGATAACACCGCACGCCATGCATCTTCAATACACACCCAGGGAGGTGCGTGGATCGATCTTAAGTCAGCATCATCATCATCGTCAATGTCCTCGGTAGCGATGAGTCGCCAGCAGCAGTCGCCAAGGAACCCCACAGCAAGCTCGTGTGGTCCACGACTCAGTCGCTGATTCGGCTGAGTTGGCAGCACCGCAGCCGCGGGCTCTCCACGCGTGCCCGGACCACCGCTGCGGCCAGGAGCGGGGTTCGAGTTCCTTCCCACGGCTCGAGCCTCGCCGCCGGTGACTGGCATAGAGACCGGGCTACGCGCGTGGACTCCGTCCATCATAAATGACGTCACGCGATTTTGGACGATTTTTGACCCCCCCCCCTCTCCCCTCGTCTCGTCACACGGCGTCATAAAAGGTCAGACCCCCCCCCCCCTCTCGAATATGACGTCACAAAGCTCTGCCCCCCCCCCCAAAAAAAACATGTTTCCATTTTGAAAATAAAACATGCTTCAAATCGCGTTAAACTATTGTCTTTGTAGTGCGTATTAATGTGGCGCTGCACTCTGATTCCAAAGAACACAGGATGAGATGTTACTATCCTTTGTGCAAGCACTTCCAAGAGTTCATGAACAGTGAGCCTGGTGAAATTTGGGGAGCGCATCGTCAGTAGTGACCCTTTGGTTCCTAGGGTGTTTCGGCCTTTCATACTATACACCCTCCCCAAAGGCGGCCAGCGACAGGGTGATCAATCCTACGCTTGCGTCCCATTCCCAATTAGTCATAGGAGTTGCCTTGTTGTTGGTAGCCAACATCCCATGGGACTATGCATGGCAGGGGCGTCCTCCTCCCTGAGTCAAGCATTGTTGACTGCATACCTCCTGGCCCTCTCACTTTGGGGCCCAGCTGGGGTCTTTCCTCTTCATCCAGAGCCACTGACTGCTGCCTTCTGCCGCCTCCGATACAGCTCTGATTGCCGAACGCTGGCTCTGGCCCTTAATAGGGGCCGTCCACAAATGACGTCACGCGATTTTGGACGATTTTTGAACTCCCCCCCCTCCCCTCGTCACACGGCGTCACAAAAAGTCAGACCCCCCCCCTCAAATATGACGTCACAAAGCTCTGCCCCCCCCCCCAAACCATATTTCCATTTTTAAAATAAAACATGCTTCAAATCGCTTTAAACTAGTGTCATTGTAGTGCGTATTTAATGTGGCGCTGCACTCTGATGTCGTAGGAGAAAACATTTATTAAAAAGTCTATTTAATTAAGTAGAACGTGTTGTCTATATTTACTTAAAGTTGCGCATTTTGATGTGACGTCACATTTCTCAAACTCCCCCCCCCTCGTCACACATCGTCACAAATGTCTGACCCCCCCCTAGGTGAGTGACGTCATTTATGGACGGCCCCTAGGTCACCCGTACACTCGCACAAGAGACCCCGAGGTTTGCACACTATTTTTATTGTTGTTGTATTTTACCAGGTAAGGCCCAGCTGAGCCTCAATAGTTCTTCTTCAGAAACGAGCTGGCCACAAACGATTGACCAACAAAGTGGACGATTATCACGAGCCACTCGCTGTAAATGCATCTTTCTTACTGTGGATGGGAAACCCTGGAGGACCCGGAGAAAAAATCATCCACGCAAACTCCAAAATGTGCAGGCGTCAGGGTCGGGATGGAGCCCACTACTACCCCGGTGTGCCAGGCGAGGGAGTTCGCATCTCGCCACGCAGAACCGTCGACCTGTGTAGACGGAGTTGGTGCTCATGTTTGGTTGAGTTGATGGCCTCAGCCCTGTCAGCAATCAATGATATAGCGAGCCATAGATGTAGATACAGAACCGTAGACTTGCATAGAGACCCAGATAATTGCAGAGACCCATATGCTCACAGGGTCTGAGTTGTGATTAAACCCTTTTGTCAAGTGAGGTGAGTTTATGGTATCAGTCCGATCACCGATGACTGGCATAAACCTTTATTTTATTTCTATTATTTTTATTATTTATCTTTTATTACTTATTTATTTACCTACGTGACTTTAACGAAAAAACCTAAGAGTATGGCATAATCCTGTCCATTTTCTAGGATTATAATTATCCTTGACACTCACACGTTGAGCGTTTCGTGGCCGTGCAATGGATTTTCATGTTGTTGTTTTTGTTGTTGTTGTTGTTTACCTTTCGTACACAACTCAGCCCTATGTATTGCCGTGTCTCACCGGTGGATGCTGCCGATGGCTCATGCCTCATGTAAGGGTCAGCTCCAAAAGTGCTGTCTTTACTCACAGCCTTGCTCTGAGGAAACAGCAGGAAACTCATCACAACTATCCAAGGTGATTTTAAATTATCATTGACATGTCAATGTTTGTGTGCCTCCCTTTATTTGGGGTTTCTCTAAAATGTATTGGGTTTCATCAGGATACGAAGCCTTTGGGGTTGACATGTATGCAAGACCCATGGATGTGCGCATTGTTACAGGACAGCTGCACAGAGTAGAGGCTTTCGGTAGGGGTCCTGCTTAGGATGTGTTATCAATGATCTCCCTATCATCCACCAACCCCACTTCCAATGTGTTGGATTACAGGTGTGTGCCACCAATTATGGATAAATACGTGGTGGTTGGGATTAAAACAATTTGGAGATGTGACGGGGGCAGTGGGTGGATGAGATTGTGATGGGTAGTGGGCGGGCTAGAAGAGGTAGTGGGTGGGACTGTAATATGGGTAGTGGGTGGGGTTAGGAGACGTGGTGGGTGGGACGAGGACGCGTGGTGGGTGGGACTAGGACACGTGGTGGGTGGAACTAGGACACGTGGTGGGTTAGACGAGGACACGTGGTGGGTGGGAGTAGGTCAGGTGGCGGGATGGGACTTTTGAAAAGGAATAAGAAACAGAATAAATCGAGAAAAGAAATGAAAGTTGCAGCTGGGTTCCGCGTGAACAGCATTCGTAGCCACCTAGAGGAGTGGGAGTTGGGTTGCCACCTTATCCTGGATTTCCCAGGATCGTCCTCTCTTCGGGGCAACTGTCCTGAGAAATCTGGACGTCTTTTGCCAGTTTTGTCATGATAAAAAAACCCAACACTCGCGACAACAATGCATGCGCGTGAAGTGTTGCCCTTTTCCCTGCTTGTGGGATACTATTCCCACGATATGTTCTGGGCTTTTGCACCTCAGGAGTAGTTAACCCTAGGTGGCAGGCAGCTTTAAGGGTTCATAAGGGATTTTTTTAGAGCATTTTGTTGTCTTCAAAGGGCGATTGCAGGTACCATCCAGTGGCTTTTAACCCCCAGTGTTGTTGTGTTCGTGGCGCACACGTTCAATGCATAATGGACCGTCCATAAATGACGTCACGCACCTAGGGGGCGGGGGTTAGACATTTGTGACGATGTGTGACGAGGGGGGGGGGGGTTGAGAAATGTGACGTCACATCAAAATGCGCAACTCTAAATAAATGTAGACAACACGTTCTTCTTAATTAAATAGACTTTTTAATACATGTTTTCTCCTACAACATCAGAGTGCAGCGCCACATTAAATTGGCACTTCAATGACAATAGTTTAAAGCGATTTGAAGCATGTTTCATTTTGGGGGGGTGGGGTAGAGCTTTGTGACGTCATATTTAAGGGGGGGGGTCTGACTTTTTGTGACGCCGTGTGACGGGGGGGGGGGTCAAAAATCGTCCAAAATCGCGTGACGTCATTTATGGACGGCCCCTAACTGGTGCAGTCTTGTGTCATCTGCTCCTCGTCAGCCGCCTACCTCCAGACTAGCACTAAATAGCACTAATCGCATTCCTGCATTTCCCATAAATATGCAAAATTCCTCTTGATATGCAGATTATTTTGTCAATGCGCATTTCCACCCCTTCCAACCCAGCTTAAATAGACGCTCCAAGCGTAGTGGTGTTTTTCTTTTAGACGCTGTCGCCTCGACAGACCTGTCTTCACCTGAGGACGGCTACTTGTGTTGTGGCCGAAAAGTCGTGAGAATTATTTTATTATGTTTTATTTTATTTTTATTATTTTATTACTTCCCTTCTACGTGACTTTACCGAAAGAACCAAGAAGATACCTCCAGACTGTCCCTCCTGCCTCCCTCACACCATGGTTTAGACGTGTAGGTGACTGTGACCGAACGATGTCAATTCTAATGACGTAGAAGGGTTCTACATCTAACGTTAAGCACATATACTGTACAGTCAAATGTGCGCTTGTAAAGTATCTACAAACATTTGAAAAGTAAATATTCAGAATTTGTGACCGCAAGATTTAGAGCCCAGAGGTTGATTGCTCTCACTCACAGGACAGAGTTAACCCAAGGTGCAGCATTTCTTAAGTCAAGCCCTCAACATTTAGAAAATAATAATCCTCTCCATCAGCGAGACAAATAACGCACCTCCTGTGCAGCGTGACGCTCAAGCCAACAGCGAATGAGTGAAGCCTGCTAAGTATGTATAACGTTAAACTTCTTTCGCACCGTACGTAGCCAACCGCGCTAATCGGAGGTGCGGGGGAGGGGAAGGACAACAAACTGAAGAGGGAAAAAAATCCGTTCTAAAGAAATTCGTTTTTCCAATTGAGATTTAAAGGTGCGTGGTTCCAGTGGCTTCCGAATTAAAAAAAAACATCTCTAAAGCACAATGGGCGTGTTCGTATTGGAGCTGGTGATACACTCGGATCTGGAGAGGGAATCAAAAACCCATCGAGCACCATGCATATCCCTTGGCAGCTCAGACGTGGGGGGGGGGGGGGGGTAAGACTTGAAGACTTGGTCGGGACAGGGAATGCAAAACAACATCGGATTTTGCTGCGCGTCCCTCTACTGCCCACAGTGCCATGAGCACCTGGATTTTCGTTGTCGTCGTCACACATGGGGGGATACCGCACCAAGCACTCTCCGGGCTCAATGCTGCTTGGCTTCTGGGGTCTGACGGTGATCGGAAGCGAAGCCCTTTGGATGCACAAGACGCGTTGTGAACATCGTCTATGGTGGTGCCTGTGTGTCATCACGTGAACTCAAACTCTGGTGCTGATCCAGGGTGCGGGGAATTCACATCCCGCTCACAGGGACACTCTCCTCCGTTGGAGAACCGCTGTTGATTTTTATCCACACAAAGCGGTGCTCATTTTCTCGCCCGCGGAGGGACGATGAGTAGTAGATAATCGAAAGAGAGAGAGAAAAAAAATTGTTTCATAAACCTGCTGTGCGTAATAAGCAGTCATTCTGAGCACAAACTCCCAATTGGCTGTCTGAGTCAAGGCCTAGTTGCGTGGCTATCGAAGGTGCAGGCGGTGCGACTGCACCGA